CAACTATCCTGAAGATCAATGGCTCCAAATCTTCACTGATGGGTCACACATAGAAAACCAAGCAACCGGTGGTGCAGGTGCATATTCTGAACATTCCTCTTTCCATGCAGCAGCGGAGCACAATTGATCCGCATTCGAAGATGAAATAGAGAACATTAGGATATCACTAAGTCAATAATATTGCCTGGTTACGAAATTCATCAAAGCGGTGATACTTTTGGACACACAGTCAACAATAAACTCAACTGGATACAGAGCGCCACCCAAAACAGCTGAGATAAAGGAATGTAGAAAACTCTATCATCTTCTGAGATAGAAAAACAGAACAGTGGTCCTACAATGGATTCCTGGTCATTGTGGCAATTAAGGCAATGAGCTTTCTGACACACATGCTAATATGGGGACAACGATTATGCAATGCATTGACCTACCGTTGTCTTTCCACACAATGAATACCTTAATCAGATGAAAATTCAAGACCTCATGAGGCAGCGAATGTAAAGCTCAAACAAAAGAAAAATAGTAGACAGTGGCACCCTCCGACATAGCCTACTGGCCAATAATCGAAGCCGCTGCTGAGTTTGACTATGTACCAGGCACAATTGCTTGATAAAACACATTCGCAGATAGGGAGTGTACACTCAACTCTCATGAATCCTTTGCATCCTACAGGAGGAAATGGCAACCCACATGCCCTCTATGTAACCTACAGGAGGAAATGGTATCATGCCCCCTATGTAACCTGCAGGAGGAAATGGCCAAGACCCACCTGATTCGGTGTCCAGCCCTAAAGACAACGACGGAAAGCCAGATGTACTGAGAAGCAAGAAGACAGCTAATGAACTGCTATTCATTAACTGCTATATATGTACCCACACACTTGGGGAAAGCTAAAGTCAAATTTTAAACGCTTAAGATAAATATCATTTGAAATAATAATAATTTTACAATAAGTGACTAAGAAACCTTGATGAATTAACATTCAAAAATTTTTTAAAATCAACACCACTGCTCAACGGAGAATTTGTCGTTTTAGTCTAAATTATGCAGTTTTTTATATGACCGCATTGCAAAAATTTGTTTGCAAGAATTTCAAACTTTCAATAAAACCAATGATTTGGGCTTTCAAAATGATGAAACGATGTGTAAAATGAAATATGGGCTTATAAAAATAATAATTACACTTAATCAGTTAAATTGCATTTTGAAAATTCATGCATCAATGAAATATACGTTATTTTAATGCTTCTTAGTTGCGCATTTTAGCAATGTGACTTTTGCTCGTTAGCTTTGTGTCAAAAGTCATTCCGAGATATGTGAACCCATTGGTTTTTTCTATGGTAGCCTGTGACAGCTCCCTGTTGAAGGCCTGTTTGTAAAAGATCGGATTTAGATAGTGCATTTCCATATCTGACTTAACATGATCTTTGTCAAATGAAAGCGTTTATCCAATTTAGCATGTTATGCTTAATACCAATCTTTGCCAATTTTATAATCAGCTTCTCTTTCCATACTAATTCACATGCTGATTTGAAATTTACAAACCTTTTCATACTAAGTCATATGCTGATTTGAAATTGACGAAAACAGACTAAGGGTATTTCTTGCATCAAGGGCATCTTTGATGTGTTTGTATGTATTTCTCGCATCAAGGGCATCTTTGATGTGTTGGGAAAAAGTGGCTACAGTTCGTTGCTTGTGGCCTAAAACCTGCTTGTTCACTCCTAAGAATATGGCTCGTCTCAAGGAACCAGCCTGTTCACACCTAAGAATATTGTTAGTCTCAAGGAACCAGGTGTGCCTCCTGTTTTAAGTTTAGCCAGCACGCTTGTGAGGAAGATAGGCCTATAATTGTCAAAGTTGCTAGGGTCTTTGCCCTCTTTTAATACTGGTATTACTACGGCAACTTTCCATTGAATAAGTACGTGACTGGTCTCCTAGATTTTGTTGTAAAGCGTCAGCATGGTTTACTCTCCTAGATTTTGTTGTAAAGCGTCAGCATGGTTTCCTTGTCTGTTGGTCCCATTCTAATTAGAAATTCCGGAACACATTTCGCACTTTAGCTGCTTTATCGCAGCATTAAGTTTGCAAGTTTTGAATGGTGTTTGCAAGGTCTGAATGGTTCAGTAAGTACATTATTTGGTATTACCGTGTCCTCCTTAATTTCACCAAACTGTCTTACTTGTATCTTTAAATGTCTTGAAGATTTTCTGACAAAAGGGTTTTTCTTTTGCTTGTGCCAAACTGTCTTACTTGTTTCTTTATATCTCTTGAAGAGTCAACAAAAGGGTTTTTCTTTTGCTTGTGGGAATAGAACCTCGTAAAAGGGTTTTTCTTTTGCTTGTGCCTCGCAAAGGCGTTAGCTATTTCGGTGTCGGTGGTAAGCAATTTGCTGTTTAAATTCGGAGTCGGTGGTAAGCAGTTTGTTTTTTAAACGTATTTGTTATGGGAATAGAACCTCGCAAAGCAGTTAGCTATTTCGTTAGGTAAGCAATTTGCTGTTTAAGCGTATTGGTTCTTTTTTGTGTTTGCTGTTTAAGCGTATTGGTTCTTTCTTGGGTCTTTCTGTGTTGTTTAGCGTTTCTCAGAAATTTGAAAGTGCGTTGGCTATCCCTTTGACAGAGATGAACTTGTCGAAGGAAGTTCGTTTAGCTTGTAAGATTGATGAACTTGTCGAAGGAAGTCCGTTTAGCTTGTAAGATGGTTTGCCTTGGGACAGCTGACAGCCGTCTCCAAGCTTGTTAGTATTCCGTTCTTCTAGTCTGATCAGCAGTGTTGCGAAGGGCGTTCCGCACCAGTCTGATCAGCAGTGTTGCGAAGGGCGTCCCTCTTACACTGATCAGCAGTGTTGCGAAGGGCGTCCCGCTTTCTTTTAGCTTCCTCAAGGTGTTTGGACCAAAACACTCGATAGTGTTTATGTGTTTAGACCAAAACACTCGATAGTGTTTAGTCTTGCCTATGGGTGTTTAGACCAAAACACTCGATAGTGTTTAGTCTTGCCTTGGGAAAAAGTTTTCTTTGCATATCTAATCATTATTTTCGTGATAGCAATGCACAGTTTGTCAGGATATTGATTGAAGTTGAGGGGACCTGTTAGAAGTTCATTGACTGAAAATTTAGTGAATCTAGACCAGTCAGCCTTCTTGAAATTCCATGATAGCTTAGTTGGCACTTTCCTTGACATGCTTTTCCTGCCGATGGTAATAATACCAATGACTGGTTTGTGACCAGAACCAGGATCTTCAATTATTTTGCGGTGTGTATGCTCACTGATGTCGCTTGAAGCCAAGAGTAAATCAGGAGTTGTTCTGGTTTCAGCATAGTGCAAATTTGTAGCCGGATCCTCATTGCTGTAAATAAGTTCCAGAGAGTTGCTGTTAAGCATGTCTTCAATATCCTTTACAGCTGTGTTTGTATCCTTGTAGCCCCATCTGGTGGAGTGGGCGTTGAAGTCTCCTTATAATACAATTTTGTGTGAGATGTTCAGAAAGTCAAAGTTGGGACAATTCTGTAGTGGATTATAGACTGCATATACCTTGAAGTGGTTTTGACATTTTCAAACATTTTATCTGATTATTTCACATATGTCTTGTGTCGAGCCCATACTCTTGATTAGATCAAAGTGTGAGGTGAGGCCTTCTTTTACTCCAGTCAGAATTCCACTTACAACTTGCCGGTATTTAGGTAGATTGTACAGGGTGTAACCTGGGAATTGGTAGTATTTCAGTTTGCCACTCCAAATGTTTGCTTCCATAATTGTGAAAATGTTCGCATCATAGGTTTTTAGGATTTTCTGTACTTGGATCTTTTTGTCCTGTGACATTCCTCCAGCATTCCACTGGAGGATCTGAAGACGTTGTGATTCGACCTGACGAGAGCAATTTTTCTTATAGCCTTTTTTAAAGCTAATCATAATAAATAGAAGTCAAAATGCCGAGTGATACAGTTTTTGCCGTACGAAGATACGTTGGCCAGGGTGAACCACGTGGAGGTAAGTCTATCGCGCACTCCTGACTTTCTTTATTGTTTTTACAAAAGCAGTACCAACATTGAAGGGCATTCTGAAGCGCATATGATATACTACCACTACTTATTTATTTTAGTATAATGAATAAAAAATGATTAAAAAATACCAATTTCCCACTCTTTCGATTTAAATGGCCAATTATTGTAGCGATACTTAGTCCTTTCCGATTATCCGATTTCATTGATCAGCAGAATTATTCGATTTGTTGATATATCGCACAAACAATTTTGTTAATAATATCACTATAATACAATTTTAGGTATTTATTGTTCATATTCTTATTGATGATTTGTTGGTTGAATAATTATTTAGACCAGATTTAAATTATTCTTTAACGTGTAAAGTTGTATATGTCATTGCAGACGTTTGCGAATATAAGAAGCTTAACATCAGAAATTTTATCTGATTTTGGTGTAGTAAATAATTATACATTAAATTAAAAATTCGCATGAAAGTTGATTGTGGCTTAGAATATTGATGACGTTCATAATGTGGTAATTAACTTTGAAAATATTTTCTTAAATTATCACCTTCCATATTTGCTGAAATATTCAAATGCAGTAGCCAATTACAATGATTCAGCCCAATAATAATACTGCATATTTTAATTGTTTCAAGCAATAAATTATTTTATTATAAAACATATATTAAAAAGCCTAAGTGGAATGAAGATGGCCTTCCATTATGATCAAAATGAGTGTAAGTGAGAAAAAAATCAAATGGAATACATCAAAAGTAAATAAAATTAGTTAATCCTAATGATAGCCAAATTTTTGCTCACAGTCTAAATGGTTAGAAAATAGTATTTTTCACTAAAAATTAATTCGTATTACTGTAATGCACTGACAGCTATAACCTATTGTTATTGAAATCCTACTTCTAAAGCTCCCTCGAAATGCGGATAAATCTATTCATTATCACATGAACCACAATTGCTAATTTAGAAACAATGAAGTAATATCTCACTAGTGTCATATATGTACTCACTTTCTTAAATAAAATAATCTGCAAGCATATATATTTATTGATATAACGTATTAAAGAGTTAAAATTTATTACATTGCAAATATTTGCGATAGGATTGCATATGAATAAACGGAATGGTTGTATCGAATGCGTTAGTTTAATTTTAGTTATGTAATTTTGCAGGTTGCAAAAGGGCACTACTTGAGATGTGGGAGAGGTAAGATAGATATTCTTGAGATATTAACAGGTAGCTTATTTAAATGATGTGAACATATATCTAGCTATCAGCATGGTGCTTGAAGTTATTTCTGATTCAAACAAAAGGAATTTGTACATCGACGAGTATACAAAGTCACTGTGATTAGAGATGTCACCGACAACTCTTACACTCGATCTAAGCAAAACAATGTTCCATTGCATTAATATTAATGCGAAATAGACAATAATCAGTGTAAAATTATTTACAACAATTCTATCTTTCAATATATTGACAAATAAAACCATAATTGGTGATCAGTAATAATAGGTCGTATACAAATGTATTTATATCAAATAGCAAACGTTTTGATAGTTATCATTAGCCCTTTTGCTAACTTTGGGCTTCACAGAGAGGAGAAGCAGGAACATCAAAGCAACAAAAGTTGAAAGGGGGGAAGATTAATGATTCATAGATGTACAAAAGACAGACATACAGACACAATGGCAGAGGAAAGGTAAGGTGAGTACTGTGTAAGGAGTCGAATATGAAATGCAATGGGGAGACGCCAGTTTGACGTCAGAAACCAACTGCCAGTTAATAGAATTTTTGCCGTATAATTATACGTTGCCCAGGGTGCACCACGTGGAGGTTAGTCTATCGCACACCCCTCGTATGGAAATGTAAAACTGCGATATTGAAACGATTCCTTGACAGAGACTGTGGTGTCTATAGTCAAATAACGAAGTGTACTTTACACATTTTTTTAATATTTGTATGATATTATATTTATGAAATGTCTTTTTCCATGTTGATTTACTTCTTCATTTGTTTTTTNGATTGAATTAAGAAAAGGTCTTATTATTTTCCTAATATTAATTCATGTTTGCATGGCTACTGTATTTTAAAAGCTCCTGCAACAGTAAATAACCTTCATATTTTGCCATTGGAAGCAGTTAATGAATGTTACGCCATTCTATACGCGAATTAATGTAATCTACATAAGTAAATGTGAAGTAAATTTTTTTGAGCATGATTCATTTCAATGCATTTGGAGTTGAAGTGTATTCTTGCTCGCCGTCCTATGAACGAATAATAATAACGCAATATTAATCTTATTTAAAGATCAAATTTTATGAATGCAATCCTCTGACAAGATATAATATCACCTCTCTCCAAAAAACCATAATTTTAGCATTTCATTATCATTAAAATTTAATGTAAGCCTTTAAAATCCAGTTATATAGTCTATATTACTTCTTTACGAAAACCGATTATGGAATTAGACAAAAATGTAATATTATAACGGAGCTAAAAATAAATCTTTGTTTTCTTCATCCAAAATATCTTAAAAGAAATAGCAAAATGAATCTAATTACAATTCAAAAGAATTTGTTAAATGTAGCGTTTAAAACGCAGTAGCAAACTCAAATTTTATTAATGCGTTCGTCAGTGGTTTATTAGTAATGTGAATAAGATTTAACCTGTTTTAAATTGATTGAAAAAAATGTCCTATTAACAGCCTCATCAAATGAAGCAATTCAACTTCGGATAATTGAAAAATTGGGCCAATAATAATGTGCTAATCTTTTTTTCGACTTTTCGCAAATGGACTATATGAACTGATACAGACAGTCACAGCTATCAAGTGCTTACTTTATGCAGACGTTCATGTTCCATGAGTTTTTGCTCAAATAGGGGTGTACGATAGACTTAACTCCATAATGTGCACTCTGGGCAACGTATACTTCTGAGGCAAAAAAGTCTGTTAACAGGCAGTTGACTTCTGAGTTGCAGCAATTATGACCCCACTGTATGTCATATTCAACCACTTTCACAGTACTCACCTCGCCTTTTTCTCACCTTTCTGTCTGTTATTTTTACGTCGTTGAAACACTCTTCTGTTCCCCCCCCCCCTCTTGATTTTTTTCGATTTGAAGTTCCTTTCCATCTGCGAAGCCTGAAGGGAAATAAAAATGCGTGTGAAAACTATCAAATCGCCTGCCACTTGATATAAATAAATAAGAAAATTTCGCTCAAATAAAATCGCTCAGCGGAGGATGAAAATTGCTCCCAATTATGCAGATAATCTTTAAGCAAACCGTTTCCATAAAATAATTAGGTTATCATCATTCGAAAACAGTATTCTAGGCATTTTCATTGGTCCACCACAGCATAAAACGTAATTTATTGCACGAAATTATTTCTCTTGAAAGAGCCAACGAGTTCATTTAATTCGAAGGGATGATTGACACACAAATAACGTGGTGAAGCGACACTGACAAAATAGCAGAACTAAAATTTAATAGAAGGATCACACTGAAGGTCCTCAAGATAAGTGGAGGAGGACATAAGTGGTCAACCAAAACAAAATTCATTTACAAGATTCTTATTCAACCTATTGACATCCCGGTCTGCCTATGCCTGAACGCCAGTAATGATTGAATTGCACCCTCTCGCTTGTAACATTTTAAGACGGTTAAATAACCGCTCAATGCGCAATAATTTGACATTGTAACCTCATCCACAACGTTAACATATACACTTAAATATTTTTCATTGGAAGCCAATAATTTTAGAGTTTTAAATAGGACTATCTGTGAAGTAATAGAACCTGCTGAAGTGGCTAAGGTACCTATTTTAGTGCATGCGAAGACACTTCCAACATTCCATTGCATTATATTCTG